CACTGTAGGGAGGATGGGGGTTATTTGAATATATGGATATCCGAACTCATCATAGCATTTGTTTACTTTTTCAGGTATTTGATTAAGGCATGGTTTTTTGTTTTTGGATGTGAAGCACTTCATGAATTTGGCTAAAATTGTAAATATGACCATAGGGAAAATTAGTGATATTTTTTATTCATACAAAGAGAAAATAGAGTATCATTCCAAAATGCTGTGTATTCATTTGTAAAAATTCTCTATATAGCTAGTTTTTGAAAAGAATAACATCTGACATATACTGTCTTTTGATAAAGGTGGTATAAATTATAATATAGCATTGATATTCCCTGTATGTGTAAAGCCCACTCCAAATAAGATATATCATAAAAAAGAGACAAATTTGAAAAGTGGTCTTTAACACGTTTTGCCATGAAACCCTTCATTTTCTCTTTGGAATTTGCTGAAATGGAACAAAATGGAAATTGGATATTGGTAAAATGGGATATTCTTAGGTGGCTGTTAGTATACTTTGTGCCCAAGTATAGCAGTGCAATGTGTTGGATTTTTATTTTTCTACTTCATTTGAACGCAGCAGCTACCTTTTATATTGTCAACATTTCATGATGATGAACCAAAATTAATGGTCCAAAATTACTTGAAGTAAAATCTCATTACGTTATCTTCCATTTTCCCATTTTTGGGATTTTTTTTTAAAACAAAGATGATACAGTTGTATGCAAAAGTTTGCATGCACCAGATCAAATTATATGTTATGATTTACAGAGATTTACAGAGAACACACTCTACACACTTTAATGTACAGTTGCTGTTTATTTGCTCAATTCAACATTTTGGGAAACAAACAAACAAAAACAAAGTATAAATTGTGGCCTGCAGAAAAAGTTTTTTTGTTGTTTTCCTATATGTTAAACATAGCAAAGAAATAGACATTGTGCACTAAAATTAGCAGAAAATTGGTATGTTTAAACATGTCCCCTGTAGAGGTTGTGTTAAATTATTTTCACTTTGAAAATCAACAAAACATGTAATTTGACCAGGGGTGTCTAAACTTTTACATACAACTTTTTTTTGTTGTTTTTTTTACAATTGTATATCTTTCATTTATTCACTCTCAAATTCTAACTAAAAGGTAGGATATCAGCCATTATACTGAACCCTTTTTCCTGCACAAAGACAATGCTAATATTTCAACATCATGTTCTTGCCATTGGCTTGCATTCACTTCCCCCTTTTCACTTCAAGTTCCACCCAGTACAATATGTGAAAAGTGCAATGTAGAAGTGCAGTGTAGGAAAAGTATATTGGACTCACTTTCTTGTTGTCATTGCACTATCCATTTTTACCTAATATTCCATTAATGTAGTATGCTTGTATCATATCATGATGTAAACATAAGCAGAAATTTAAGTGCAAATGTTTTATATAATTCTTTCTAGAAGTCGTTGTTTCTAGTACATCATTTTGATTAGCAGATCTAAATATGCAACATGCAAAAGAAAATGCAATTGTATGATTTGAGTTCTTATTTATTTTCAATATCTCACTGCACAAGATCTATCAAGTTAAATCTTTGTCATGCCGATAAATAACAGCATCAGATTGTGTCACATTGTCTTGAACAAATGGGTCATATCAAAGAGCAGCAATGTGACAGGAATATATCGTCTGGCAGGTAAGCACAGTGCAGTCCAACACAGCATCTTCCCTTATGCTTTTTGAGGATTTGGAAATGGAATGGAACAACAGATGAACACAATGTTCCCCTTAATTGGTCAGTGTTGTGCACAATGCTGGTAGTTTGCCGTAATTGTTTAGCGCACGCCATTGTTTGCTCCATTCTCCTCAGCCATTGTACAGCAAAGTTCCTTTGTGCTTCCAGGGAGCAGTGGAGCTATTCACAGGCAGCCTGGGAACCCTACCAGAGATGCGCAGCCATACAAAAGAGCTCTCTCAAATCGCTCAGTCTGCTAGCATACATTCATCCAGAAAGATAATGATATTGTCTCATTGTGCAGGCTCTGGCATAGCACTAGCTGCCTGGGTGGGGTGAAAGAACAAGGTCTAAACGAGGAACATTTGGACACGGGACAGCAATAGAGCACACAAACTGTCTGACCAGTTGATTAGGCTATTAGCATCTTTAAATACAGTTTGCGGTTATAAAAATGGAATAAATGATCAGTTATTAGGTCCATGAAGACATTTTTAAAAGTCAGTTCCTATATTTGGGAATTATGAATTTAGAACAGTAACAACTGGTCTGACTCATAAAATGTGTATGTATGTATGGTAGCTTTTGTAAAATTAAGCCCACCCTATATAATATAGCAATAACTTCAGGGTGCAGTAGACACCAGGAAGGCCTGCTACCGTAGGGCTGCGACTGAATGCTAGAATACCATCATAATCTAAAGGTATTTTTACATCACTGTGGTTCTGTTTCCTAAAATTCTGTGGCCTGACATCCAAGACATGTAAGAGTGCTATTCAACATTTTACAAGAAAGCAGAGACTACAGTACATATTGAAAGAAGTGAAATCCTTCATCATTTGTTATGCTGAATTACAATAATAAATATTTGAAGAGTTTAATGTCAAAATGCTGTAATTTTGTTTCTAACAATTTTGGCTGTAATATTTTTTTTCTAAAAAGGAAAAACAGCCATCATATAATGGAAAACACATTTTCATTTCTCTGATAAAGGAAGTATTAATTGTAATATATAATTGTTGCATATTTTTTGTATGTATAAAGCTCACTCCCAAGAACTTACATCATAAAAGATGAGAGTGGTCTATAATGCAATTTGGAAATAAACACCTACTTGCAATGATGTACACTTTAGTTTCCTTTAGAATCTGTATTTTGCTTCCCACTGAGTGCCATACAAACTACTTTTAATTTAGGATGAAACATACAGCCAGTCCTGTAATGCATTTTTCAAGGATGTAAGCAACCTTTATGTGCCAGAATAAACCAGCGCTTGATGGTTTGATGAGAATGTAGACTGATGATGACACAGATATATTTGGACACCTCTGCCTTTGGATGGATCTCATCAAGAGATTTTATTCAATATGTAAGACCTTCTTTGCTTTGCTGTTTGGCACTAAAAACTTGCTTTGTCATTGATGGCAGTGACTCTGTAAGGCACTATTTAGCACAGCATTACACCATGTGGCTCTACCATTTGGGTTGTTTTTCATTTCAGTGGAATATCTGCGGCTCTTTAAAATAGAATCTAAGTAAGCTCACTGAGGGCCATATTATGAGAAGCAGCAGCTGTAATGAGCACATGTTTTCTGCACCGGGCTACGGCCCAAGAGATTAATTAAGCCCTTTTGTAATGCAGCCTAAGAATAGGAAACAAGTTAATCGCAACTGGAATTGACTGATGTAAAGGAGGAGAGAAATCTCAGATCAAACATTACAGCTCAATTTGCTTTGGGCTTTTTAGAGTTACCATTTGGTACTTGGAGCCATAACACATACAGCTGGGTGTTGAGACTTTGGTATTTTTTTTGTGTTTTAGTCCAGAATGCTCCACTTTTGTGACAGAGACAGAAAAATCCTACGCATTAGGCGTTTGCATTACGCTTATGACTGGGGTTTCAGAAAAACGGCAATGCAAATTACCCCAGGATTTCTTCCTCCTCCCAAGGAGCTGGTACCCCCATGTTTATTAAATTTGTTAAAGTGCTTCCGAGCAATGTACATTTTATCCTCTTAACAGTCAAATTAGTATATACTCCAGCAATTACTTAATGTACTCTAATGAGATTTCCCCACAAAACGGCAGGATTCATTTATTTTAATGCGCCGGGCTCCTTCCAGGGAGTTTATGCATCACGTCCCTCTGGAGCACAAGCGGGGCTGGAGTCATAAATAGTGGAGTATGTGCAGCGCACTGTGGCTGCTGCTGCGTGCCCTGAAGTGGAGGACCGGGGTCCTGTAGAGACCGCTCTTCAGGGAGGATCGCAGCACTGCTCAGGGGGTTGATGACCTCTGCTATGGTGAAAGAAGCCGATATTCAGATGAAATGTGTTTAGGCTGATGGATTTGTTTATGTGCGCTTTTTAAAACTGGTTCATGCCATTAGGGATCTGCCTATTTTGAATTCAAATGATAGTGGTAAGAACAAAAATCTTAATCACTAATAAAATAATGTTGGGTTTTCACCCAGACAAAAAGCATGAAATATACGTTCAATATTTCAAAGACATACAATATTTTTCTATTTTGAAATATTAATAACATACAGCAGATATACTGCATTCTCACAGAGGCAATTCCCATTCGACAGAGAATGCTTTTTTTCCTCAGCTATCTCACAGTACTCTGGATTTCTGGAAAGAGGGTTATGGCTAATTTACTTGGGGAAGGTGAAGCAGGTCTGACGGTATTAAGCCTCAAGGGCTGCGGATCATTCTCCACACTTCAGAAGCTATCATTGTATGGATTCAGTGGACCATTCCTTATAGTAGTCTCAGTCAATCAACTTTGTTTTCACTTCTGGCTGTGGTATTTATTTACTTTTAGCCCATTCGATGCATTTCTGGAATCTCAACAGATTATGAAATAAACAGACCAAAGGACGGGGAAAAAAAGTTGTTTGCAAAAGTCCCATCTCTACCCGTCTATATACAGAATCCATTTTCATTTTATTACAGTATGAAAAGAGACCTGCAGGCCTAGAGATGGCTCGGACCCTTTGATGGGCCTATTTGCTTTTTTTTTTTTTCCTCTTCTTCTCTCCCCTCAACTCCATTATGGCCCTGAACTTTAAAAGCTCCAGTTGAAACTCAAAGCTATGGCTCCGAATGCAAAGAAGCTCCCTCTATTTGCAGAGCAAATCGAATGCAGTGCGTTACAGTACACAATGCAGTTCTCTAGCAGCTCTACTATGTCCAGAGCACCTCTAGAAGTTTGGAAGTAGCTCAGTTCTGACTGATTTGGTGCATGCTGATTTGGTTTTCTCTTCTTTTTTGGTTTACAGGAGGCATTTTTGAACAGACGGAGGGGCCGGTCCCACTCGTCAGTGCAGAAGAGCTGGCTTTTAAATTTGCTGTTAATAACATCAACAGAAACAGGACATTATTGCCAAACACAACATTAACATATGACATCCAGAGGATTAATATCTATGACAGCTTTGAGGCCTCAAGGAAAGGTGAGTGACGTTAGTCCGACTGTGTTTGGCTGGCAGGAATGGTCAGATTTGGAGTATAAATTGCACCACATTCTCATCACACAAGCACCTCACTTCATGCACTCTCTGCTTCTGTTTTCTGTATATGATGACTATGTAATTAGAAATGTTTCCTGCTACATTTCTTCAGCCAAATTGTTGTTTTTAATCTTCATAAACTAAACCGTGTGTTAATGTACAGTTAAAACAAGACCTCTATAAAAAAAACATGAAATATTGTATGGAAAATGTAATTAGGTCTGTCATTATTGGTTGATTAAACTAAATTACTGAGTAATTATTATTAAAAATAAATAAATGTATTGTCTTCATGAAATGATGGTCATGATTAGATGCAATTGCTATTTTGTCATATAGTGTTTTTTATATTTTTTGCAAAAAAAAAAAAACCTTTAAAAAGACTTCCTACTTTTTACAACAAAATATTTTAGAATTTTCAAAAAAGCTTGACATAGTTTGATATTGATATGTTCAGTTCACTCAATTTTTAACGTTGGGCCTTGTTTAAAACTTTGATTTCTCAATCAGGCATCAATAAATGGTAGATAACTCGATTACTAACATACCAAATAGTGGCAGCCCTAAATGCAATAATTCTTGTAATGTTTCTTGTTTGCTTACTTGCATCACATTAGAAGTTGTAAATTATAAACACTCAAACACAAGGTATTTAAGATTTCTGAAAGTGTTAACCTAACCTCTGCTCTTGCCAGCTTGCGACCAGCTGTCTTTAGGTGTAGTGGCCATATTTGGGCCATCTCATAGCTCCTCGTCAAATGCAGTGCAGTCGATCTGCAATGCGCTGGAGGTGCCACACATCCAGGTGCGGTGGAAACATCACCCCATGGACAACAGAGACACATTTTATGCCAATTTGTACCCAGACTACTCCTCTCTCAGCTACGCAATCCTGGACCTGGTACAGTTCCTCAAGTGGAAAACAGCCACTGTGGTGTATGATGACAGCACTGGTGAGTTAACCTTTGCATTTCAAAAAGCTTTTAAATTATATACAAACATAAGTTATATTTTATTTACTTTTTCATGTTGGCCCTGTTAATTAGAATCTCTATTGCTGCAAATTTCAGTGTGATTAACTCGCTATTGAAAGACATGATGTTACATTTGTTTCTGTTTACAGGTCTGATCAGACTGCAGGAGCTGATCATGGCCCCATCCAGATACAACATCAGGCTGAAGATCCGCCAGCTCCCTCTGGACAGCACTGATACCCGTCCACTGCTGAAGGAGATGAAGAGGAGCCGAGAGTTCCGCATCATCTTTGACTGCAGCCACATCATGGCAGCCCAGATACTCAAACAAGTCAGTTAGCATGTAGTACACATATTTCAACACAAAACAGGAGAGTCTAGTAAGATGTAGTAAGGTTAAGGTTAAATGGTGTCTTTAAATGCTGTAGAATTAATATTTGTAATATTTCAACACAAAAAATAGGAGTCTAAAGTCTAGAGCTGAAGGGCTTTTTCAAATGAGACAGAATTAAGAATAAGAATGAAGATTTTTAATATTTGAACAAAAGAACAAGAGGCTAAGGTCTAGTGAGGCTAAAGCGTGTCTTCGATAATTATTTAAAATGAAAGGATCCATATCTCACGTTCGTCAAGGTCCACTTTTAATGTTTGTGTGAATTTATATACCAGAATTCATCTTACAGGACTATGTGAAGCTTCAACTTTCCATGATATGGACCCTTTAAGTTTTTACTATTTCAGCATGAAGACAGGATTCTAAGATCTAGTAAGGTTAAAAAATTTTCTTTTAATGCGGTACGATTAAGATTTAGCAGCTGTTGGAAGACTTTTTGAACAGATATTTCTCAGCCCTTGAACTAACGCTCAGATGTTATGAAGCATGTATCATGTAGTTATATAAGACGGTGATCCAGGTAAGAGGCTTAATAGTGCACCTTTTAAGCTGCTGCTTCTTCCCTGAAAGTTTTCCAAGTATCTTTTCAAACAGCATTCTACTGTTATTTTTGTGAGTTTAAACGCCCTGCAGTTATTTTCTAGGTCAGAATGAAGGCCTTATTACTTCATATTTGAACTTATGAACAAGTGGTTTCTATAGCCCCAGTCCACTAAACAGACTGATTCTTTCGGTCACCTGTCTGTAGCCTGTCTTGAGCCTGCCTTTCTCTGTCAGCTTCTTCTGAACTTCTGTTGCTACATGAATTCCCCTTTAGGCAACAAGGAAATGGGAAATGTGACAGGGCAGGAAGTCTGTTGAAGTTGACTGCAGGCCAAATCCCAGATGACTTTAAAAAGCAGTGCAATACCTGTGTGTATGAGGGGGTGGGGGGGCATGGTGGCTGAAGGAATTAGAAGGGACACATACAAGTAAATATTACAGGAGCTGGTAAACTGTAGATAGAGATAGAGTAGATGGCTCATGACTTCTCTATAGTCTCTGAATGTCAGTGTTTTATGGTGAAGTGGTAGGTATGAATGGGGAGACTTTGTGTAGACTTTTGTTCTGACTGGTAGAGTAGAATAAAGTGAGACAGGTCTGAAAAGGAGCTTTCAATGGATTGCTTAACCTTGGGTTTTCTTCACAACAGATGGTATAATTAAACAGGAAATATAGCCACCCTGGGAAATGCAGGCATTTCAATGGAGATTGAGTGAGTGAAGCGGTGGGGAGTGGATGTGGAGGATGAATAAAATGATCACTTTCTTTGATTAAGGGCCCTTATCGCTGTAGGAAAGGTAGCCGTATGACATTTGCTATTGTGATCCTCTGAAAGGACTGACAGAGACGTGGACGACGGTCAGGCTGGATTTGTCATCTGTTTTTGCCTCTGTCCTGTGGACTGAGCATAGTATCAGATACAGAGAAAGGCAGTTCGGTCAATATAGCCATAGAGTCCTGTGGTTTCTCCCTGTCGCTCTGTTGTAAATATGTTCTGTTTTCTTTTGCATTGTTTGTGTTTGCTGTCATATTGATTGTAAATTGAGATGCTGACCTTTTCATTTTCTTGCATTTCCCTCTCTTCCTCCCCCCTCCCTCTTTCTTCTCCTCCTCCCTCTCCTCCCTATTACTCCCCATGCGCTGCTACAAGGCCCAGATGATGGGAATGATGACAGAGTACTACCACTACATCTTCACTACTCTGGTAATGTACCACACTTGTTCAAGCAAATTGAATCTCATTTATTTTCATCCTGCTCCCTTTTTCTTTTTTTGATGAATAGCTTTTAATTGCCAATAGGCTTTGGATCTGCTCCATAATATCAATTTCATATGACAAAACAGCAGGGTAATGGACTACCCAGTATCCCAGTGTAAACATCCCCCCCAAGCTCAAGTCAACAAAAGTCTTTGAAAAGCTTCTACAAAGACAACAGAGAGTCAATTGATTAGGTAGAAATGCTTAAGCTAATAACTTAGCGTTTGAATGACCTTTGAATTCAAACCCTCCCAACTGTTTACAGTGATACCCCGACTCACGTCTCTAAATGCCAGCTTTGCCTCTCCTGTGTGCATTTTGAGTGGCCTTTTAATGCCTCTGATGTATCAAACTGCAAAGCAGGGATACTTATCAGTAGCTTATCATACCCTCCTTAAGGCTGGATTATTGTCCAACGCAGTCTGAATACAAATCATCCCAGCATTTGTGCTAAAATTTAGACTACTAGGCAGTTACAGTTTATTGCAAACAATCCAGGCTGATTTCTAGGTCAGTGAGTCAACTTCAGTACCTGATATCAATTTTTCCTCTCATTTAATTAGTTAATCAGTTGTAATCAGTGTGCAATCAGTCATAACTGTTTATTTCTGGGGCCCAAATTGTGTCACTCACTCCAGAAGATGAGATGGCTTTAAAATCACTGGAAGTGGCTGGCAGTAAATACTCGTACCTGATTATGCAGGTAAACACTGGAGTTAGTTATATGTCATGTTCTTGATGCGTCTCTTTTTCTCTGTTTGATCATGAATTAGTGGTCTTGGATGAGCGTGTTGATCGCAGCTCTGTTGTTGATATCTCACTGGTCTTATGTAACATTTCACGTACCATCACATTAAAGCAGTGGTAGTGGTGAACGCAGTGTTTAGCACTGAGACAGTACAAACGTCACTCAGTCTCTAAACAGAACAACACAGAATACTGTCAGGTACTGAAAAGTAGGCACCAGAGCAAAGTTCAGTTCCAAACTGCAATGAGGATACTACATGATGGGTTTGCTTGCGCTCCCCCCTGTACTACAGTATCAGATTTCAGCCATCTCCCTCAGTTAATCGTTTTCAATGACTTCATGAACAACAGACCTAAATCACAGCAGCATATATTATAAAACAGAGGTTCCTATCTATCTCAAAGACAAATAATAGCTCTGAATCAAAAGAGGAAGTCAAAGAATTACTCAGTGATATGGCTTCACACTGGGTTCCTGAAGCCCTCATAGCTATTAGCACTCAGCATGAACTCAGTCAGAGATACTGGGTGGGGTTGCAAGTTAATTGAGAGTATGAAAAATACCTACACTGCATGCATTGAGACATTTTAGCGATAAACCGGTCACTTTAATACACTGTAAGTTACTGTAAGTTAATTCCTTTAACCGTTTTTAAACATGTCACAGTGATTTTTGAGCTATTCTCCTGTTTGAAATCAGAATGGGAAAAACTGTGACATCAAATACATATCAATGTTAAAGGGTCCATAGCCTACATACTTTTTGTATTTTAGGTCCAGTCATAACATTTATGTGGGTTAATGTACCAAAAACAGTAGTAATTCATTTTTGCATGACCATTTTTCAACTTAAACTGGTTGTTTTTGTATCTTTTAGTCATAAGATATATGTACATTATATCTGTTTCAATTGGCTGCCCTGTGCTGGGCCTCATTCTATAAGCGGTCTGGGCTGAAACACTCCTTATAACATCAACCTGAATGGGTGGAGCTAAACTGCGGTAGGCTGAAGGCAGATATAATGTATATTAAGGTATTGGTTTTGGTGACATCACAAAAACAATTCAAAATGGACTGTTTTTGCAGTAGTTTCTAAATTTGGGCTGTATGGACTGGGGAGTGAATAGTACCTTTCTGAAACATTTTTGAAAAATCAGTAGTGTTTATATACTACATTAACCTCTTGTTTTTCAAAAAATGAGGTTTTCCCATGATATGGGCCATTTAAAGAAGAGAAAATTAATAAAAAAAATAATCACATGGAGCTTTGTTTTTAAGCACTGAAAATTAGATTATAAAGTGTTGCATTTTCCATGGTTTTATAGTGTAGAAGACAAACAGCACTTGAGAAACTTCCACACTGAACAGGGGTGAGTTTCTGCAGTGCTGCAGAACCACAAAGACCATTCTGAAATGATAGAGCGAGTGTCACTTTGAACACTCTGATTTGTACAATTGCTTTGATTCTGATGTGCTTGTGTGAAACTAAGCCCAGGTGGATCATATTCTGAAAGCACAATGGAAGGACAGATAAAATCTATAGAGCTGGTAGAATATGATGGAAAAAGTACAGCAAAATCACCACTGTTAACACTAGGTCTCCAGTGGACACTGTGCAGTGCATTCTGTAGGTATTCATTTAGCAACAATTGCTTCACAGTATGTGTTTTAGAGAACAGTAGGAAAAAAGAAAAAAAGGCTTAAAAAAGATTTAGAAAGGAAGAGATGATTCTACATCAGTATAAATCCAGAACAAAACAGATGTTTTTTCCTCAGAACACCATTTCACATATTGATATACTGTATGCCCAGATAACAGCATAGAATCAAGGTCTGTCAGAGCCCTGGCACAGTAAATTCACTGACATGAAGAAGGATCACCTAACACTCTCCTCACAATGCGGGTTCGGGTTTGGACACCGACTTCATCCCTCAAGCTCAGCGGCGTGACAATAGCATTGTTCCGCTGTGTATGAGTCTGTGTTTACTGCAGTAAATCACTCATACACCACAACATGGGAGAACTGCTTTGTAATACTTTGTCAAGTGCATTGTGTTTGAGCACAAGACAAGGTTTTGTTTGTTTATTTGTTTGTTTTTTGTGATAAGTAAATGAACACATGAATGAAGTACATAAATAATATGTATGCATTTTATATGTATTTGAGTGTAAGCCTATAACTCTAGGATGTTAGAGATTGAATACAAGAACAAAAACAAACAAATGCTTAGCGCAGGAGCAGAGTATTCACACACAGGTAGAAGAATCTATCTGCCTCGACATTCACTTATGATTTCAGTCACATTCTGGAGTTTATTTCCTAAATAGATACTGTATAAGGTGATGAAAGAGTATATTATTCCTATTGCAACACAGTTGCACTCCAGTGAAATTTGCTTTTAATGTTTCTGTTTTATCATCTGAGAGGACGGAGCTTCAGACTTAGCAGAGCGTGAAAAGTCAACACTTGCGTGTTCGGGGGTAATAGCTTCTCTTTCTTCTTTGAAATGATCCAACTTTTTCACCCCTGCCCTCAAGAGATCTTTCAGCTAGAGGTGAGATGAGTGTTGTGGCTTCGTTCTCTAAAAGAAACGGGGTTTGTGCATCTGCATAGATATGAATAAGATTATTTATTTAATGCACTGTAACGTGATATATATGGTACAGTCCATAAGTATTTGGACAGTGGCACTTTTTTGTTGTTTTGGCTCATTGGCACAATGGATTTTGAATTGAGGTTAAAGTGCAGAATATCAGCTTTAATTCATGCATATTTGCATCTATATTAGCATTTTTTGCTAATTTTAGTGTACAGCTTCTAATTATTAACATTGTGGAACATTTTGGAAAGTTTAACATATTGGAAATAATAAAACACAAAATAGAAAATATGCTAGAACTTTTGCACAGGCCATTTTATATAGATTTTTTTCCCCAAGATGTTAAATTCAGCAAATAAACAATAATTGTGCAGTAAAATATGCAGAAGTGTGTTCTCCATAGATTATGTGCTTACCCCTTAAATGGCCAGGAGCCCATCGTCAGTCCCAAAATTTTGATACACACTTCTATAACCTAAGAATAGCTTAGCCAGTTTCCACTGAAGGCCCTGTAGTTACTGATTAATAAGCATTAGTATGTAATAAGCCTGGGATTTAAGGGTTTCACACTACATAGAATTTGACCTTTTGGAATTTTTGCATACAATTGTATTTGTAACAATTCAAAAGATAAAGAGGCTTGAAAAGTAAAACAGCTGACCTATACTGCACTTAGACTGACCTATACTGTGTAAAGTATAGCAAATAAAGCAAATAAATAAATAAATAAATAAATTCTAGGCATCTGAGAATATGATATGTAAAGCCATTTATCTGGGCATCTAACCATTTCCAAAGCACTCCTCAAGAAGGTCTAGTGTTACAGTTACCATCCAGTACCTACTTCAGCTAATCAGTCCTTCATGTAATTAAATTCACTGCTGATGTGCAGCAAGAAGTCAGGTATCAAACCTATGTTCTTCTAACTGCATTCTTCTTACTAACATATGAATACCTTTTAAAAAAAAACAAAAAACAAAGCATTTGTGTTACATTTTACTATATTATGTCTGTTTGTATTTATTCTAATGTCATATAGTGTTTTAATCCCAAAAACCCACTTATTGCTGAGATAAAAAGTGCTACACAATTTTCTTGACTGCCTAAGACTTTTGCCCAGTGCTGTATCTCAGGCCATTATCACTTATATCTAACAAATCTACAACCTGCCATTATAGTGTAAAACTATTCTAACATTTTATTAACAATAACAAAATATCAAAATATTTTATGTTTTGATGTTTTGTTCATTATTTATCTGTAAAAAAGTAAAAGAAAAGTGAATTCTGGAGTTACTAGTGACCTGAGGTAAGCATTTAAGGCTTAGGAAAGAAAACAGCTATGACAGAGAATACCGTTTATCTCTCATCCTGAAATTCATCATGACATTTTTTTAAGAAGAAGTCTTCAAGGTAGCGGATAATAAAGAGCAGTTTAATTTTCTGTTGCTGGGGGGCAAGCATTTTTCCAGCATGGGTCTTACACGCTCTTGTTCCTTCAGTTCAAAACCCACAGGGTGTTAATGAAATTGTCTCTTATGTCCTACTGAATGTCTGTGCCCCCCTCGGCTTATTCAAGCCCCACATGTGTCTGTCTGTTTGGGACTTTCTACAAGCAGCGGAGTCAATGTTCTTGAAACAGCATAAATGGCCAGATCCTATTCTTTTGCATTAAGATTAGCCCTAGACGAATTCTAACTTTATTTGGCAATGTTTTTCATACAAGCAGTATTTCAAAATCATATCATTGCTATCAAAACCTCATAATTTATTTCTCTATTTTTACATCACGGCAACTGCCATTTATATTATGTGAATATTTCATGACTGAATGGTTCAAAATTATGTGGAATAAATTCTTGTTACATCAATGTACATTAAAGTATTTTTTTCATTCTCCTATAAGTCTTTCAACGATGTGCAAGGTTATGTGAGGTTGCTGTGTGTCTTACATTTGACCTTATGACCTCTGGATTCAGAATCATCAACACCTCATCATAACTCTGCTTTTCCACACTAGCGCTTTCGTTTTCAGAGGTTTAGTCTCACATCATTGCTTTGCTATGTGAAATTCCGATCCTTTATTCACGCCATGACAAAGGCATTGAAATCCATAGACACTGTGATCCATTTCAGTGACGGGCCGGTATTCAGTATCAGGTGGCCGCTTATGGTTGGGTGCGCAGAACGGAAGCAATGAACACAGGATTATTGGAGGAATAACCGTTTCAATCGGCCATTGAGGGGCTGACTGCTGGCTTGCTGTGTCTGAAATCACACTCTGGTGTGTGTGTGCATCCCACAATCCCTCATCCTCTGTACCCAGTCAGCCCGGAAATACAGCATTATCCTCCCTGTCCTTTATTTTCTCTCTGTATATATATATATTTTTCCCCTTGCCTATATCTCTTCTTTTTAGTATGAGACAAAGAGACAAGCAGCCTCTCTCCCTCCAGCTTGACGCAATTCAAGTCTGGTTAAATTATCTCTCTTTCTCTCTCTCTCTCTTCTCTCACCTTCCCTCTTTCTTCTTTTTCTTTCTATTCGTCTTTCTTTTCTTTGTTTCCCTTGCTTGCTCTTTCTGTCTTGTTTCTCTCTCTCTCTCCTGTCTCTTTTTGTCTCGCTCGCTCTTTCTTCTTTCTCTTAAAACTGTAAGGGGGTCTAAATCTTTTATTCCAAGAGCTCTTGTTGAATTTATGAATGTCTAATAATGTTGGATGATGTATTTTATGGTATGTATATAGTTCATTCTACCTAATCGGTTAAAAGAGTTGAAAACAAATTTTGGACTTTTAACTGGTTTGGATTTTGGCTTTGAGTGACCCTGTACCTTAATAGTGTTTATTTGTTAAAATAATGGTTGAAAATTACAACATTAGCGAAACTTTACCAAATGTTTCAGTCGTGACTGTTTCAATAGTAACAATGTTAGTTCATTTTGAGCAGAACTCACTAAACAAATGCTAAGAACTTGCAGAAAATGTGTGTTTTGGTAGTGACAATTCTTAAGGTTACACTCTGATTTCAGACTTTGGGATATATTTACTTCAAAATAGTGGGATCTAACTGCCATGAGGTACAGGACTGCAGTCTCATTTCCTCCTCTAAAATGCAGGGGTGTGGCAGAAATAAAGCTCTGCCTGTGGACATAAACTCTTTGCATTTCCCTAGTGACATGAAGATGTGGGACAGCACTTTTTTATTTATTTATTTTTTTTTAGATAAAAACAAATCTGACTTTACATTAAAAAAACAAAACAAAAAGACATTCAAAGACAATTTTGAAAAAAATACAAAAGAATGCAAGCATTAATTTCACAAGTTGAAATTTAGGGGTTAGTGTCTGAGACAGCCACCTCTTAAACATACCCTATAAATTATTTAGTGTATTACTATCTCAGTTAAGGCCCTGTTAAGGAACTAGGAGATCTATTTAGAACCATTTTTTGCTTAAATGGTTCTTTGCATGGTGAAATGGTTCTTCAGATTGATGGAGAATGTGTTGTATAACATTGTAACAGTAGTAGAACCCTTTTTGGTGCTGTAACAATTTTCAAAAAGGTTCTATATAACCATATACAACACATTCTCCATTAATCTGAAGAACAATTTCACCTTGCAAAGAACCCTTTAAGAATGTAAACGGTTCTATGTAGAACCACTGTCTTTCCTAAAAAGTACCATCTAGTGTAGATTATATGTGAATATCTAAAGTCTGAGAAATGTTTTTTTTTTTTTAATAGTTGTGATGTTATAATTTATGTCATTTTTCTTTAAATTATGCTGCAATCAAATTGTCCTAAGAAGGAATTCTCTCTCTCTTTTCAGGACCTCATGGCTATCAATCTAGAGCCATATCGTTTCTGTGGCGTTAATTTGACCGGCTTCCGCATCTTGAATGTGGACAATCCTCAGGTGGCCTCCATCGTGGAGAAATGGTCCACAGAGAAGCAGATCCCTCCAAAACCAGACTCTGGTCTGCTGGAGGGAATCATGACGGTATGCTTCATTTTCTCTCTACACTCCTCCATCTCCTTACAGTTCTACCTCAAAAACTATGCCGAAAGAAAACACAGGAAGAAGAATCCATTAATGAACATTTCCTTTTGGATTCAGTTTGATTCTTAGATTTAGACTACATTCAGTTTCTTGTTTGTTTTGAGAAGGAATGTGATCTGTGAGAGAAAGATTAGTTTCCTTTATTAAGAATGATTAACACAGTAATGGAAGATGTAACAGTACTCTAATGCTGTCGGGTTGCAGGAGCTGTAGATTTCCGATCTCGTCTTCTAGATTTATTAAGCAGAGCTTATTACTTGGCAATGAAACCCCTCAGATCACTGCAGTTCAAATCCAGTAATTACATCCTGTGCCTGATACCAATAGAGAAGCTCTGTCTAGTTAACACTTTGAAGTCAAGTTATTACTTTCTTTTTGCTGTATTATTTAAATGTAATTATGTGATTACATATTTAGTTACATTGTGAACTATACAATTAATTATAATTACATTCTTTATAAACAGATGTGAGGCTGTATGTTGTACTATTTTTTTTCATAACAACTTTCCTCAGAACATTTAAGAGTAGCCATTAGATTTTTTTTTCTTTAACTGCTTGTAATTTTCCACTTTTACTCGCAGTCAAATTAGATTTTCAGTTATTTTAATCAGGCAAAAGACACATGGACCAAAAGAAATGTTCTCTTGAAAATTTCAGACATTAATGGGTTATTATTGAATTACACCATGCTCTTGTACTGTAACTTCTAAAGGCTTAATTTTAAAGTAATGCAAATATTGTAGGATTAAGGCTTTTAAATTGAAGCTGAGTTCAGGATAAATATTTTATTATGAGTTGTATGGCTTCTTTGTTTGTTTATTTCTTACAGTATTTCAAATGCTCCCACACAGGTCTAATTGTCTCCTAAACAGAACACTTTTTAAGAAGGTGCTGCCCTTTTTGTGAACAGAACAAGTGCTTTAATTGCTCCGGAACTACTCTAAGTCTGCTTACTACAAACATGAAGGTAGCTTGCCTTTAATGTCTTTTTGCTCAACTGGATGGCTCCATAGCCATATTTACAAAGAGCTCAGTGCACGGGAGGGAGCCGCGTAAATAATTTAGCAACTTCTTGAACCATGTTGTTTCGCAGGGAGTAAAAAAAACACCGCCTGATGTGTGTGGAGCTGCAGGGCCCAGCTGTGCTGAGATATGAGCGCATCCCAGAACCATGTTCTCTGCCTTTTTTTTTCCTCTACTCCTGTCTTGCATGCTTTTTGATGCACCTCTGCTAATGGTGCAGAAAAGCAGGGCCGGTTGGCTGCCCATCAGACAGGGTGGCTGTTGCTGGGGCCCATGCTCCAGCACGGCTGCTGCTGCTGTCAGCTGAAATAATGTCCCCCTTTATTCCAGACAGATGCTGCTCTGACGTATGACGCGGTCCACATCGTGTCCGTCTCCTACCAGCACGCGCCGCAGATGACAGTCAACTCGCTGCAGTGCCACCGCCACAAGCCCTGGAGGTTCGGCGGGCGCTTCATGAGTTTCATTAAGGAGGTAATGAGTACAGCCAGGGGCCACGCTGCTGCTGCAGCACGCTCCCTGTTCCACTGGGATCTTCATTCAGATATCTGCCTGAGATAAGATACATAGATGAAATTTAGAGGAAATTGCTCAGCGTGACTCCGTATCTGCTTTCCGTAGTGTTTAAAATAGGCTTGTCTTATACACAGAAAGGTACTGTTTTCTTGATATTTCAGACTTGCTCTGTAACCAGTAAGACCATGTAGGTGATCTGACAATGTTATGCTAAATACTGTGTTTTTTGTTTGTTTGTTTATTATTTTTTTTTCCATTTTGAATTATTTGGATAATATACATGAAACTATATACATGATACTGTATTATAACATGCTAGATTATGGCGAGAGATGACAACACAGATATGGACATATGACCAACACAGCAACCACTGATGCCCACGCTGTCTCTGGTCTTTCTTATGCTGGATATAATTTACACAAATTAGCTGAGCGTAGCCAGCTCAGATTATTGATATAAGGTGTGGATACCGTTCACATCACACTCATAGTCAAGCTATTTGTGCAAATCTGGTGCGAAATTATTACAATACTTGGAAAAAATAGATGGGAGTGGGAGATAAATACCTTGGCTGAAAAATTTCAAGTTATAAAAGCTATTTAGGCTACATAATACAAGGCAAAGAGTTAGCAAATACAACTCCTGCTTGCGTTTTAGCAACATACCCCCAAAGCAGCCAACAGTTGGTGAGAGAAGCCATTCACTTCTCTCTAAAATGCAGTGTTAAACAACACACAGTTACTGCAGAACATGTTAAAAATAATAAGAATGAAATAAAATACAAACTCTATCCTACAAAAAAGCACACATGGGTATTAACTATGCCCAAGATATTAGAAAGTTCTTTCCTTTTGTTGTACTGCTTTTGTTTTAGCAGTTGCAGTTAAACAGTAAACATTCCTAAAATCTAGGAGGGGGGAGGGGGGCTGCAGCCCCTTCAGCATCCTTAATGCTGGTGTCTCTTTCTCTGATGTTGTTGAATTGTTCACATATTAAAAGCTAACCTTTCAACAGACGATAACAGATGATAACACACAAAAAATAAAACTTTCAATGAAGAGAACTGATGAAAAATAAAAAGTAATTAAAACTGATTAAGAATGATGGGTGCATCAGTGCCCACAGTTGAACTGACAAACATATTTGACCAATCAAGTGTTTCTTGTAATCATATCAGTCAGTAAAGTATTGTTTAAATAAAACTACTGGAATCTGTTTCATTTTTGACTGTAACATCACAATTCAAGACATTTTCAGGGTCTTCAGAATTTCATTATTATGGGTATAACAGTGAAACTTAACATAGTGGCTACTGTGTTAGCTTGGGGCTAACGTGTAAGCTTATGGCTAGATCCAGACACTGTAAAGTACAGATGATATTTATAATACTGTCCTTTTAATCATGTTTAATGTTCTAATAAATTGAAAATTGAACCATTAACATGCAAACATATTTAACATTATTATAAGGCATATTTTCAGCCACTCCTATATTTTTTGTATGGAATTGAGACATCACTGTATCATATCAGATCAAATTCACAAAATTCTCCTCCTAATTACACTCCTCAAAATTACACTCCTAATTATGAAATCTAATTTTTCAGATGTTTGATAAATTTTAACAGACAAAAAAGAGCCAAGAGTGCCACATATAAAAATACTGTCAACAAAATATGAGTTCACATACTGCACTGAACTAAATTCAAGTAAACTGAGCTAATTACACTCTCAAGTAAATGTTTTCAGTTGGTGAGTGTTCTTTAAGCACTGACGGTATCCATGATATGCTTAGGAAAGCGCATTGTGGCGTAATTTATCACAATAGCGATATTGCCCACCTCTAACATTGACCGATTTTATCATCTATCAGAATGTTTTTTTCTTTCCTTAAAATCTAATAACTAGTGACTTTTTTCAGTGGACAAAAAACATACCAGAATAGAGCAGCTGAACTTGGCTGATTTCAACAAGACCTTTTTTTTCTTGCCTTAAATCCAAACTCACGCAGCACGTACATCAGTGCCTGTGTGTCCCACTTTCCACATGAACTCGTTGCTGTGCATTCAGCTCACAAGTACGAATGGCATAATCAGCTCCTATTTCAGCTCACAAGAGAGTCTGTGATTGTGACTCATAATAGGCAGATTAGAGTTGTAGAACACAGCTCTGTGCACAGAAGAAGAGAAAAAGAGGGCCACAGAGTCAGCACGGAGAAAGAGTTGTATCTGAGTCGGAATAGACGTCCCAAAATAAGGGCAGTAGTGTTCCCTTTGGGCCCCTATCTACACATCGCAGTGTATGGATGAGTGTGTGTGTGGTGTGTCTCTTTGTTGGAGGAGGGGGTTAAAGGGTGCAGTGGGATTTTTCTTTTTTTTTTTAGATCTCTTGAGAGTGGAGTGAGTAAGATCGCTCTTAATTAAGACTTAGGTCTTTGGGGAATATGTGACTGAGGCATTGGGATGTAAAATGTAATTAAAAAGGAAATATAAGCTCTGGTTGTGTGTGCACTACACCTGTGTGTGAGCCTGTATGTGTGTGTGTATCTGTGTGTTTTGAAACTCTCTCTCTCTCTCCTCTCTCTCTCTCTCTCTGCAGTCACACTGGGATGGCCTAACTGGACGACTGTCCTTCAACAGGACCACAGGTTTGCGGACAGACTTTGACCTTGACATAGTCAACCTGAAGGAAGATGGCCTGGAAAAGGTGAGTAGTCCATTTACACTGAATATACAGTGGTATGCAAAAGTTTGGGCACCCCTGATCAAAATGTCTGCCACTGTGAATTGCTAAGCGAGTTAAAGATGACACATTTCTTTAATATTTTAAACAAGATTACTTTTTCATTTCCATTGTTCATAGTTTCAAAACAAGAAAAAAGAAAAATGGCCTGAAGCAAAAGTATAGGCACCCTGCATGGATAGAGCTTAGTAACACCCCTTTGGCAAATATTACAGGTTGTAAATATTTTTTTGGAGCCAGCTAAAATCTTCCACTTCTTGTTTGGGCAATTTTCTGCCTTGCAAAAGGCTTCTAGTTCTGTGAGATTCTTGGGCCAACTTGCATGCACTGCTCTTTTGAGGTCTATCCACAGATTTTATACTCTAAAATACTTTTAGGTTGGGGGGCTGTAAGGGCCGTGGCAAAACCTTCAGCTTGTGCCTCTTGAGGTAGTCTATTCTGGATTTTGAGGTGTGTTTAGGATCATTATCCTCTTGTAGAGGAGAGCAATCCTCTTTTCACCTTCAGCTTTTTTTACAGATGGTGTGATGTTTGCTTCCAGAATGTTGGTATTTAATTGAATCCATTCTTTTCTCTACCCGTGAAGTGTTCCCCATGCCACTGACTGCAAAACAAGCCTGAAGCATGATCGATCCATGCCCGTGCTTAACAGTTTGAGAGGTGTTCTTCTATCGAAATTCTGCACCTTTTTTCACCAAACATACCTCTGCTCATTGTGGCAAAAAAGTTCTGTTTTGCAAATTTCTGATGCTGAATTTTGTGGTGAGGACGCAGAAAAGATTTTCCTATTATGACTCTTCCATGAAGGTCATATTTGTGCAGGTGTCACCACACCAGAGTCTGCTAAGTCTTCCTGAAGGTCCTTAGCAGTTAAATGGGGGTTTTGATTTGCATTTCTAGCAATGCTGTAAGCAGTTCTGTTCAAATTTTTGTTGGTCTTCCAGACCTCAGCTTGACCTGCACTGTCCCTGTTAACTGCCATTTCTTAATTACATTCTGAACTGAGGAAACCTGAAAATGATTTGGTATCTTCTTATTCTTACATCAGTAATTTTAATTTTCAGAGTGCTGGGCAGCTGTTTGCAGGAGCACATGGCTGCTAATTGTTGGGACAAGGTTTGAGGAGTCAGAGTATTTATAAAGCTTTGAAATTTACATCATCTGGCCTTTCCTAATGATGATCGTGAACAAGCCATAGCCCTGACAAGCTAATTAAGTTCTGAGACCTTGGCTAAAGTTGTCTGAGAGCTCCAATCTCTTGGGTCCCCAAACATTTGCATAATGCTTTCTATTTTTTGCTCTAAAATTGTACAAAACAAATATAATACACTAATCTTGCTTAAAATGTTGAAAAGAATGTTTCATGCCTTTTGGAGATCAGTTCATCTTCTACTCACGTAACTGTTCAGAGTAACAGAAAGTTTGACCAGGGATGCCCAGACTTTTGCATGCCACTGTAATAGTCAACAACCACCCATAGACACTTGTTCCAAATGTTTCAAGAAATTGCAATCATGAACCAACTAGTGATGGATGATGATACATTTCAGTGTCACAATATTTTCCAAATATTGCTTGATATGATTTTATTTTGCATTATTACTAAGCTAATATTTCCCACAGTGTTTGTTTGTTTTGCTTTTGTTTTCTGGCAGAGGTCAGGTAGTTGAATTTTGAATCTTTATCAGATTATGGAGACTGAGATATTATAGCGGGAGGAGGTTTCACTGGTTGAAATATGAAGGAGATAGCTCTTAACGCTGAACATGGTGGCATTACAGGACGTCCCCCCTTTGAATAAAAAGATGGACTTGTTGTAAAGGTGTAGACATGTGTGACTGGAAATGACTGCCTGTGGGCATTGCTAAGTTTACTGCCAATTGACCAGACTTTCCTATAACTACTTTGACAGAGCTAAAGTCATGACAGAGAGAGAGAAAGATTAGCTCTAGACGCCGTACATTACAGTGATTTTACCAATGTGTTTTAAGCAGGATGCTGGCTCACTTACTAGTAGTCACAACTAAAAAGGCTGGTTTGTTTTTGATAGTGATAAAGGAAAAGATAGATTATGGAAAATATTCCATCATCCTCAAGTTCTAATTAGTACAAGGAAAAATCTCCACTTCTTCCAGCATTCTCCCACCCAATGCAAAACCAAGAGAGGAAACTAAGAAGTGCAGGAATCTCACAGTCTAAATGACCAACATTTTTCTTTATTTGACAGATAATATTACATTCATCCTGGAGCCTATAGCTAACAGATTGAGGAAATAAGTTCACAGCCCCTTTAGGATTAACTCAAAGGAAATGTTACAAAGGCATTGTAATGTTAACCAGACAGAAACATTGCCAAAAAGGAAGCCTCCTATTTATTTAGTTTTATGTATTTTGAATTGTTCTTTCACAACACTCTGAAACACCCAGCAACACCTAGCAACATGCATGGCAGTTTAGTTTTTGAGTGTAATGTTGTATTGCACTGTGACATGTAACTGCGAAACATGTTGTACCCCTTAAGCAAAGCTGTCTCATTAGAGTGTGATAATCAGTCATAAAATGTTCACACTAGCTAACGAAAAAAAAAAATGAACAAGTTTCACAGTGTTTATTTTAAAGTGTGGCAGGTGACAATTCCTTGTCAATACAACAACATAGTAGGTAATACCCATCCAATGTTGCTCTTGCAGTTATATTATTTACAAAGCTATCCGAGTAAAATGAATGGAATGTTACATGTTCTTTCATCTTCTGCTGGAGCCCATGTTGATAATGTTTGCTAATGCAGCTGAGTGTTGTGAATCTGGCTTATTCCTACTTAGATCTTCTCTATTCATTGTCACAATCATCAGTACAGACTCACGTGTATTGACATCTGCTGTTGTTTTTCTGCTTGGTAGTGCTCTTCAATGTCAGAGATAAATATGACAGAAGCTGCATTATGTAGTGTTGTTTGCTTTGTTAAATGCCTGTCTGCATTACCGTATTATGGTACACTAAACTTTCCTTACTACCTTGTCTAATTTGGCCACCATTCTAGAATGAATAGAAGAGTACTCCATGCCCTGACAGAATAATGTACCCGTTAGCCATGAAGCAAATAGGCTGTTTAAACATCAGCATAAGTTAGAGGATCATAAAGTAAATTGGATTATGGTATCCAGCGTTGTTAATTACAGTCTTTGCTCACAACAAGCAGAGATTAAGTCTGAAATGCTTTTGGTGGTAATGAGGTGTGTAAATATGCCTGGGATATTTATCTTAAGAATAACAGAAACGAAACATTATTATCCTGGCAATACATCAGTAGATGTCAGTGAACAAAGACAGAAGTGTTAGATGTTGAGGTTATGCTGGGCACAGTTTTGTTTATGTAGGATTTACTGCAGATGTCCATTGTTTCTCAAAGGTAATACCTTTAAAATGCTACTATTGCCAGAGTACACCAAAAGAAGAAGGTATAGTCTATCAAAATCCATCATGAGCTAAAAGAGGAAAGGTTTTGCCGCATGTTTACAAAGTAAAAGAACATTGCTAAAACATTTCTAGTCTTAAAGAGCCTATATCTAACATTTGTCTTTGCCTATGAGGACCTTTTATACTAATTGTGTGCTATAAGAACCAAAAATGGTCATAATTCATTTTTACATGACCATTTTCCAAACTCTGTTTATCCCGTGAAATGAGACAGGCTGTTTTAGTTACTGTGCCTTTAAGACTGATATATGAGCTCTGTTCTGATTGGTTGCCATGTGGTGTGTCTCATTCAAAGAGCACTCAGAGCTGAAATACTTCTTATAACTTCAATATGAATGAGTGGAGCTAAACTGCTGTAGGTTGACTAGGTGGAAATATGTAAATGAGTTGGTTCTAGTAACATCACATAAACAGTGAATTCAAACCGGGCTGTTTTTTCCAGCATGGTTCGTATGTACAAGCTGTATGGACTGGGTGGTGGATATGTTTGAAACTGACTGTGAAAGATTTTTTTAGCCTTTGCTTTTAGAATTGTTTATATACAAGAAACAAACAGTGATACTATAAATGATTACAGTTTGAATATGAGGAAAAACACTTTCAAAGTAGCAGCAACAAATGGATTAAATTGCTAATCTGTGTCATATAATTGGTTGAAAAAGTCCTGGAACTTAATATAAGCCCCTGTCTTTGTACGTCTTTCAGGTATGAGACATCCACAAGCTTTTCCTTCAAAACCAAAGCCAAATCGTCACGTCAGAACAAAATCAGCTTAGTGTTTCCAGGCCTTAACTGTTTGAGCTGCTGGAGAAAGAGACTTGGGAAGTAATCCCTTTTAATTGAATATTAGCCCACGTTTTATCTCATACTGGAATTAGGAGTATTTTCCTGGGTGGAAAATTTGCTTTATGTTGGCATTAGTGGTGGAGAGCAGAGGCACTCTCCTGCCATTTGTAAATAAGTATAACTTCAGTGGATAATCACGTTTAATGAATTGAGCTTAATTGCTACTACTTTGTAAGGATGAAATGTTGGAATTCACAAGCGTTCCCCTCTGGAATTCATCAGAATCTACACAAGCTGTAACTAATGTGCGTGTCAAATCAAAACGTGTTGGGCGCCGAGTCAGGCGGACGGTATTATCAGGCATTTATGGTGTCAGTTGAGATGTACTTGTGTAACTTTGAATGGATATACAGCTCAACGGTGGGCTTGATGAATACAGGAGCAGTGGCAGGGACGGCGTGTGCGCTGTGCTGCAGCCAGGCAGACGGAAGGCAGCGCTGCAGCAGCACGCGTGCAGACAGAGATGGATGCTGACAGCCACAGGGCTATTTGCACTAATGATTTGTTGGGGAGTGTCTGTACAATATGCAGGGCTTCTTTCTGTGGCTGGAGGGGAGAGTTTGTGGAAAACGCACTTTATTTGTTCAGATCTTTGCACTGATATTAGTTAGATTACTCACAACATAACTTCTTAGGCAGAGTAACTGCTCCTGTCAGCCACATTCTATTAAAGCATCTGTGTGTGTGTGTGTGTGTGTGTGTGTGTGTGTGTGTGTGTGTGTGTGTGTACGTGTATTAATTAAATGCATTTCCATGAAGCATTTTCATTTTGGAGTACTACTTCAGACAGATACTAGTTTGCTCTATAATAGATTCACTGATTCTGAAAAAAGCCATATTACTGTATTTCTGTGGAGTGAAAGTGAAATTATTGGAATTACATCAGAGAGAGTTTTAAAACTAACATTGCTTCTCCCTGCTACGAAGACAAACATGCATGTGTGTGTTTCTGGAAGAGTGTGCTAAGCAGCGCATTACCATGAAAAATGATTTACGCCATTATTTATTTACCCAGTTTGACCCTGTAAACCATTTGTAATTTCAATCTGAAGTATTATTTATAAGCAAAGCACACAGCTAATGCCGGCAATACCAGTAACATCAGTAACGTTAGCACTAGCAGACACCTTTACCTGACTACACTGGACAGTACTTGCAGGAGAACCACGGATAAATCAACAACCCACAAACTAACAAAACAGCAATAGCAAACTGGAAAACCCCCACTGTACAAGCTGTAGGAACAAAAGCCAGAGAATAAGAGGGCTCCATCATGGAAGAGATGAAACATGCAGCCGCTGTTGCTCTCAGCGGATGTCAGTGATGAAAACTGGAAGCTGCGTTCACTGTATTTTCATGTTCACATGATGTACATAGCGTTACTGAATTATTAATAGTAATAAATACATTCTAAGGAAGCTTATTTTGTCCACTTTTATAGCGATAACAACATGTACTGCTTTTTATATATATCTTCCTTTAGGGTCAAAAGCAAAGCGAAGCAAAACAAATCATTATTTAATTATTATTATTATTATTATTATTATAATTACTACAAGTAGTAGTAGTAATATATTATATATAATAACTACTGTATAATCAATACTACTGCTACTACTATTAATAATAATAATAATAATAATAATAATAATAGGTTAGACCTGTCAATATTATTACATGATCAACTGCTCACAATTACTTGAGCTGGCCGCAATTACTTTCCAACGTTTTTTTTTTTTTTAAAGAGGGCAGCAGTGTTTGTTTGAGCTCGAACTACGTCTGTTGTCAGTTAGGAGCTATTAAATATTGATAAAAAATAATAGCTAATAAACCAATTTGTCCACTTTGTGATTTTAATACAATTAAAAAGAAAGACAAATTAATTGTGCAAAGTGCAAATATTTAAAGTTTCATGATCGTGACAGGCCTTTAATAGAGTCATACTCAACATTGCTTTATAGAAGCAGCAAGTACATTAACAGCAAAGACTGTATAATCTCCCATCATTTCTATAATTCTGATAACCAGATTGCAAATCTATTAAAATGGATTAATAATCTCAAATGAGAGATAAATGGTGTAAAAAGCAGTGAGAATACACATTATCATATAGGTTTTATTGCAGAGAACAGTCAATATATATACATCCTAGCAACCACTCCAGTGATGCCCACATTAATGGATTACGTGATTTAAGACTTGTGTTTAAATGGTGGATGAATGAATGAATGAATGAATGAATGAAATGAATGAATGAATGAATGAATGAATGAATATCATGTTCAACCTGGTGCGCTTCAGCATTAGGAGTGCGTTACCTCACACCAAGCACCAGTTCTAAGGAAATCATACTCAAAATGAGAAATATGATATTCTTTCATATTTCAGCTAAAGTGGTATAATTAAACTAATGAAAAACATTACATTCTAGTGAAAGAGAGAGAATGTTTTTGGCTTAGCTGCCTTTGACCTTTTATATATTTTCTGAAAAAAGTTTCATAAAGCATTTCTTGACCAAACACCATTTTACAACTCAAAACGTTTCAGTGTGCTTATATAGATGAATGGTTCACGCTTTAAGACAGAGACCAAACATAGATGGAATGTAGGCTAAATAAATGTACTTTTTATACTGCTCTGTATAAGGATTTGATACATGCAGTATAGTGAAATATTCAGCTGGAGAAAGCATCTACGTTAAATTAATATTGGACAGCCGTCCTCAATGTCATTTATCTCAGGCGAGTGAAGCACAGTTACTAAAGGTCCTTCCTCTTTGCATTCATCAAAACAGTATGATGGAAAATTGCAGCACAATCTTTTCCAAGTCTTTAATAACGATAAGCAAACAGTGTTATCAATTTGTAATGCATGCTATGGTAATTTCCGCTTCTGCTTTTGTTCAACATTTTCTCTTCCGAAATTGAATTGAAAAGCAATTTCCTTTGGTTGAATTGCCCTTCCTCTGATCTTAATGCATTCAGAGGGTGTGCAAGAGCCTGACTCCTCATGGTGCCACCCTCCCCACCTCTCTACCCCTAGAACCTTTTGGCATATAGGTGACATAGGCAATCAGCTAATGCCAGTGGATGAGCTCCGCAGGGTCTGCTAATGCAGTGAGGTGGGCTGTGGGGAGGGAAAGGATCACGCAGGCAAGCGCAGTGCGCACTGGCTACACAATTTTCATCTTCCGCAGGTGGGGAAGTGGAGTGCTTCAGGAGGGCTGAACATCACTGAGGTCCCCAAGCGAAACGGCATGAACATCACCGACTCCCTCTCCAACCGCTCGCTCGTCATCACCACCATACTGGTAAGGGCACACAAGCACTTAACATGAAGGTCATCCCTCCCGCTCTTTCCTTTTCTCTCTGTCTCGCTCTCTCCCTCCCCTCTCTCGCTCTCGCTCTCTCTCTCTCTCACAGTGGTCGTCAACCCTCCTCCTGTAGTTCAGCCTACCTGCTTGAAGAGATCACTTTCAATCCAGATCTAACGCACATGATCCAACTGACTGCAACATTGGACTTGCTTTACAGTTTTTTTTTTGGCAGAAATCCCAATGAGAAATTTTAGCACACAATTTTTTTTGTCACAGTTTCTACATGTACAATGTGTTATTAATTGCAAATGATATGTATTTTGAATAGTTGTGATGCAAATTACATGTTTTGTTGATTATCTAAGGCCAGTGTGTCAAACACAATGCCGGGGCCAAGTCAGGCCCAAGGCTCAATCCTATTCAGCCCGCAAAATTATTTAAATTTTCTGTTAATATTAGCCCATTTCACAATGAGCAGTGTTCCCAGCATGCACTGCAATGTAATGTGTGCTCCCACCCCCTCCCCAACAACGATCTATCTGCAGCCAATGTAGTCTACTGTTTTATATAAAACAATTTGTTTTTATTTAAAATTATTTTTGAATTGTTCAAGCATTCAGTGCCTAATTTAGTTTTGGCATATTTTGAACAAACAATGGCCAATTGTGCAGCTGGCTCACAGATTTGAGATATTCTAATTTGGCCTGGTTAGTGTTTGAGTTTGACACACTGATCTAAGGGAAAACAACTTAACACATCCTTGGCAAGAGAAAACTTTAATAAGGCATTTGTCAGCAAATTTTAGTGCACAATTCATGTTTCACATATTGCAATAAAATAATGAAATTGTGTTTGTTCTCCAATATGTTTCTTCAACAAATAAACAGTAATTGTGCATTAAAATGTGCAGAAGTGTGTTGTCTCTAGAGAATGAACAAAATGTCATTTGAGCAGGGCTGCCAAAACTTTTGCATACAACATTTTTAATCTGGTTGATATGCTAAGCAGAATGACCACTGGCTTAAACTACTTGAACATTTTAACGATACAAGCTATGGTAACGTACTTTACACCACTAGCACCGGTAGCATAGCTTTTGCTGAAAACATTTTCTCTGTCATGCTTGACAAATATATTAACATTACATCATGCCTCAAGCTTCATCAGTAAAGTCAAGCTGCTTAGTGACAGAGACAGAGAAACAGGTGAAAATCTTTAGGTCTCAAGGAAAATTCTCTAAGTCTCTATACAGTTAGAGGATGATTCAGTCACGGATGATGTCTTTAGCTGTAAGGCAGAGTGAGATTACACAGCAAGCCTAACACTCAGCTTAGGTATTTTGGCAAAACCTAAGTTTATTAGGTTTAAAAACATTATTGCCAACATTCTGTGAAGCTTTTATAACCTCTTAACAGTTGCTACATAAGAATGCATTTGTTGGTGGAGTATGGATGGGCCAGTTAACCCATTAAACTCCAAAATCCAGAGTACACTCACCACCAGCAAACACAACAGACAGAATATTTGGTTCGATTGCTGGAAGAATCTAGAATATTGTCCTTCATTCGTTTGGACTGTCAGATCTAAACAACTGCAAACATTAGATTGTTGATGTCTGATCTGGGCTTAAAGGACTGTTTGCAGGTCTAAACCTTAAGTTCCTAACTTTGATAACCATGTAATGTACATAAGTGAAAGTCACTGAAATTTCTAGGCAATAAGCCTTAGGTGTAATAACTGAATAATAAGCCTCAAGTTTAATGGATCACTGATACTGATTCAATGGATCACTGATACGTTGGAACATTGTAGAGCTCAGGCTAAACTCTGCAGAAGGGTAAATCTCCAGGAGCAGGGCTGATGACCACTGCTTTATATCACCAAAATAGTGTTCCATTAAAAAGATTCAGTACATATAATCCAGAGCTCTACTCTAAAAGATTTAATACCTATTACCTAACTCTATTTCAACATTTCCATCCTTAACCAATCTTTAGGGCCAAGACTTCCCTTAGAAGTCACAGTTATTGCCTGCAATAACAAAAGTTTTATGTAATTAGATATGAATTATTTCTCACTTGTAGCTTAATGGAAAAAGAAATTATTTCAGAAGTGCAGATTCTAAACTTCCATTCAATTCTGCATTTGTGTATTAGTCAGTACATAATGTAGATACATAATGTAAATGAAATATGAATGTAATTCATAGCATGACTTAAAATACAATTTTTCAATTATATTTGAATAGTATAGCAAAGCAAAATGAACAGTTCTTGACTTTTAAGAGTTAAGTTATTTGCATTGTTTCAGTATTCCAGGGTAACAACCTTGAATAAGACAACATTCCTCTTGGCTATTTGAATTTTCAGGAAAAAAAAGTAAAGAAGTGTAACATGATTTGCAGTACAGGTATTTGAAATTTATATTTTCATTGACCGAACCACTCAAATGCCTTCTTTTTTAACAGACTGTAGTATTGTCCTAGTGTTACACCAGTGGTGGTGATGGTGGTTCTGCCAGGGTGCTGAGCAGCAGATTTACACAAAGAAGAGTGCAGAAAAGGCCATTAGTGACATGATTTGAAATAAACAGGCATTTCCCTCGGTGCCGCAGCACAGTGATGCTTTAGGCTCTATATTTATGCTTGTCGCTGGAAGGTTAGGGGGCTTTGTGGAGTTGTCATTGGGGTGCTGACATCGAACTGCCTTTGTGGGCTTATTTTGGACAGGCACATGAGTTAGCAACAACTATAAACACTGTCATTAGGCCAGGACTGGGGAAGAAGGCTGTAATCAGTGCTTTTCTAGTGCCAACCATGGGAGTTCCATGATCACTTACATATGAGAAATGAACAAAATAAATAAATCTATCAGTCAAAAGGACATGTGTTGTGGAATTTGGCCTACATGTCATTTGCCTTTGTATTGTGCAAGTGACAGCAAAGCTTAAAACATGAGTGTGGTAAATTCTGAGAGCTAATAGAATGAAGAACCTTCTGCTGTGAATAAGTTGAGTGAACTCTACATAAATGTGAGATTTTGTCAAGCTTATAGACAGACTTTGAGAGTTTCACACTGCACTCTTTTGGCTAAAGCAAGGTCTCCTTCATTGTGTTTAGGCAGACCACAAGATGACTAACCACCAATCAGTGCATCTCCTCTGTTTTTAAAGGATGGCACGGTCGTAACAACATTAATTAAAACAATATCAAGTATTTGAATTTTCTGTTTTCTAGGCTACTTATTATTCAGTTAGTAATCTTATGGCTTATTGGTCAGCAACTGCTAGGAATTATTATTCAGTTACTGTGAAGCTATTAAAAAGTGTTGTAGTTATAAAAAATGATCTGTTAGTGTTTCTTGGGGTAAGTTCCAGAAAAGTCAAAGATTTTTGACTGTTTAATTTATTCAGTTAGAGTTACAGTGGGGTCTGAAATTCTGCGAAAAAAAGTATTCTGAAAATGCTTCTATTTTGTTTTCCTTTCTAATTAAATTCAACGTTTTTCATTTCAAATGGTGTTCTCCACATAGCAATTTAAGTGAAAAGTACAATCTTTGAATGTTTACATGAATTTCTTCAGATTATGTTCTTCTTTTGCGTGTGCACTGGTCTCTTCAGGTTTGTGCAAAAGCTTCTGATCTGTAGATCAAATTCACCTGAGAGTTGTCTGAACACTTGTTTCAATGGAAAGAATAAGAAAAAGCTGACCTTTTTGTACAAAGGTCACAAATTTCACAAATTTGCTTCGATTTGAATAGTGACCCAGAAATAGTGCGGAATTTTGAACGTTTCTTCATTTTAGTTGTCAAAACTTTGTTTTACATTTTTCAAGATTCACAAACTTTTTTTGATTTTTTGAAGTTTCATATCTTAAATAAATAAATAAATAGAAAGATTCTTTTTCCTTACAACTGTATCATATGTCATGTCTCAATAAATCAACAAACATGTTTAACAGTGTCAGTGTTTAAGGCCCCTTCAAACACGTCCCTTTAACTGGGAACTTTTGGGTATTTAAGCTGGAAGGGGTTCAGCGTGAGTGCTAGCTGGAGTCCCAGTAAAGATGACATGACAGTTTACCTGCATGAGACGCAGTACAATACCTGGGAAATTAGTGGAAGGGCTGAGTGAACATGAGACCCATTATATTACCTGGAAATACAAAGATGTCTCAATGTACGAATTACAGAATACAGATTAAATTCTGTTTTTTTAGTTTTTGGAGTGAAAATGGAACATGATTCTATAGAGAAGCATTAAAAATCCATTTTGCCTGTGAGCACAGCTACTTCTGTGCAAAAGCTACACAGCATGACCACAAAAGCAGAACCTTTGTGTTTTTACGATTGAGGTTTCAGTTTTTATGAGAGAAAAAGTTGCGTCCTGGTAAAATACCATTTAAGGGCCATGTGTGTAAAATAAGTGAAGCCCAAAAATCATCTGCAAAAGTATCCAGATAATATCCTGTGTTCTGAGTTTGAAAAGGCCTCATATTCTGACCCTGCGCACTTTTATGGATTCAGCTCAGATATCGAACATCTTAGTTTAACAAAGTATTAGTAAAAAAGATTGATATTTAACACATTTCACATGCTGTGTAACAGTGACCAACTGCATTAGTTTATGTATCACCATTAAAACATTTTTACTGGATAGTAAGTTGCAGCAGTCCTGTCACTAAACATGAAATCACAAAGGCTTTACTCTTTGGGAAAATTGAGGTTTTAGTTGGTTCTGCTCTTGTGTTTGTACCAATAGGTCAGTGGTCCATGCAGTTTAGGAAGAGTGGAGATTTTGACAAAAGTAATCTGAACTCAGTCAAAAAGTGGCTGGTCATTACCCCAGTACTTTGAAAAATGGTGGGTTAAATGCCCACTCGCCCCCCTGTGGTTACAGTGGCCATGATGCACATTAATAAAACATTCCTGTGACTGTGCCAACTTGACCAACTTGGTTCGTATTCAGGAACAGAAAAAAACAAAAGCATGAACCAAGACTCATGACATGACTTTAAAGATTATATAATGCATGAACATATGAATGATCCATACAGCAATACTAGGAAATAAAATAGAGCACGCCAATGCTGAAATAATTACAGACCATGGCCACATCTTAAAATAGCTACAGAACATTCTTTTAGATTCTCACTCTAAGTGTGGGCTGTTCCTACTGAAAAAGCTGACTGTCCAAAGGACATTTCTTTACATTATTATATTTGGTTATTTTAGTTTATAATTATGCATATATCATTTCTCACATATAAGGCAGAATTCATATGAGTGCAAGTTTCAAGAGGCACTCTCAGCCAAGCTTAGAACACACAGTGTCCAACTGATTTGCTGAAATTCCAACTAAGTTCTGGTCAGCTGTGTCCAAGCTCTGATGAGAATGGACAAAAAAGTCCACATAGAGTCTGTAACTTAGCCAATCGGAGACAAGGCATGACTCTGATCCTGTGGCGGCTCATAATGACACTGTATGAAACAACCCCATCAGTGCACAAATAAGATGCCTGGCGTTTTTATTGTGAGACCTGGCACCCTGAAAAGAGATTAAGATATTTAATGTACTTTCCCGCATGCATTGTCTTCACTCCCATTGCCTATAACTGTTTTTCTGTACTCTCTTCTCCCTTACCCCCCCTTCACTTATGTACACCCATGCAGAGAGAGAGAGAGAGAGAGAGAGAGAGAGAGAGAGAGAGAGAGAGAGAGAGAGAGAGAAGCTGCTTTTAGCTTTGATATGAGTCCAAACCTTGGGGAATTTCACATATTAGGAGACTAGGAACAGATGGTAATGACTTTTTTTCTGCAACACACAAACTTTTTGATCAAGATAATTGGACAACTTATACAAAGTTTTCCTTGGAGCCGACTTGTTTCAGTTTCAATGTAAATTGCTTTATAATCAAGAATTCATTGGCTATGATTTATTAAACAGTGTGTCAGTTTTAATCATTAGAAGTCCTGGATTAGCATCTGGCCTTTTGCCAAACAACAGCCTAAGTGCCTTAGAAAGACAAAGATAAGGATTAGTATATGTTTTATTTGAGGCCAGTATTAGAGGTAAATTAAATAAACTTTTTTTTCTCATTAAATCCTGACTCTGTATTAATAAAAAGAAAATGTAATGTCAGGAATGAAAAGTTACGCAGGTAAATGTGACCCTTTTGTATAGCAATCGATTGCACTATGCTTTTTAGTGACAGGCCATCAGTGAAGTCATCTTCAGCTTTAAACTTTCAAGTTATAATATATATATATATATATATATATATATATACTATATATACACACACACACACACCCCTGGTCAAAATACATGTTTTGTGAAATTAACACATTCTCTACAAGGAACAAACAAATATTTTTTCTGTGTTTTCTGCAAGTTTTAGTGCACAGTTTCTATGTATTTGCTACATTTAACATACTGGAAGAAATAAAACATATATAAAAAAACATATTGCACATGCCACATGTTTATATATATCCAAATTCTTGCTGTCCTTCCATTTCCATGTTGTTTTGTGCCACCAAAGAGTAAATTCTAGCTTAAACTGAAATTGTGGCCTACTATCTGCTTCAGGCCAATATGTCTCTTTTATATTCATACAGTATGTGTGCTGCTGATGAATTAGTGGCAGTCGTTCCGCTGATAGAAGCATGCAAATGGCAGAGCTCCAAGGCATTTATTATCAAGGCAACTGGACGGGACGGAGAACAGCAGTGAAATCGATTTTGAAATTCAGCCTGAGCATCATTACACATGTCTGAAGCATCGCTCCTCTTCTGTGGTTGTGACTGAGTGCAGCCGTCCTCTTTCTGCCCGGGAACATCTGGATTTTTTTCCTTCCTGTTCAAGTGTAAAATGCTATAAAAGCTAGATTGTGGTCACAGCACACAGAGAGGAAAAACTAAGCACAGGAATCGATCAGATCACTGAGAGTTTCTGTATAGCACTGGACTGTGTGTCATCGAAAACAACAGATGGCCATATAAAAAAAATGTGCACAGAAAAGTACAGTTTCCCATTAATTAATATATTACATCAATGCAGTTAATGCCAAAAAGTAAATAAGTAGGAAAGACAAATTTGAGTTGATGTAAAATGTCATATTGTCATATGTGTACCAAGTAAATATAGCAGATTATTTTTTCCATTTTTCCTCTCCACATGCAACTCTCCTACTAAGATCAGTGGTACGTAGATGACATTATGAGCGTGTTCATTTTCATGGCACTGTTCTGTTCCTAATCAACGATTTATACGATCCAAATAATGAGCTGCGAGGAGAAGTATTACACAGCTGTAAAAAGTACATAGCCCTCCTCCTGAGCTCTGAAAGACTGAGTTAGGGTTAAGATATGTGAAGAGAGCTGTGACTCTGCTGTAGCTCTGTGTTCGACCATTCAGCTGCATTCGCTTCCTCTCAATTAGGAGCTTGTACCGAGGAGCGGCAGAAAAAGCTGACCTCACCACTGCTTTTCATTTGATGCTTTGTGTCTGAGCAGGAGGAGCCATATGTCATGCTTAAGAAGTCTGACAAGGCGCTTGTTGGTAACGACCGCTTTGAGGGCTTCTGCATTGACCTGCTGAAGGAGCTGGCCAGCATTCTGGGCTTTGCCTACGAGATCCGCCTTGTGCCTGACGGCAAATACGGCTTCCAGGATGACAAGGGCCAGTGGAATGGAATTATAAGGGAGCTTATGGAGCATGTAAGTACAGGTTGACCATCATTGCATCAGCTTCCTCACTACAGCATCATGCCACTACCACAGCAATAAAACAACTGATCCCTCAACTGTCAACATCCTTAAGTGAATTCATGTCAGCTGCTAGCATGGGTAATTAACTTACTGCCTTATTTGTTGCTATCACCGTTCATATATTCTAACAACCTGCCAAAGTGGCATAATATAATTTAACAAGTTGCAGTGATTGTTGATAATAACAAAAGCATGATGTAATTCGAATTAATTATCTAATTGTCTCATTTGTAGCTCACTGCAATGAGCAGAGAATTTCTATCAAACTCTAAATGTTCAATCAATACCATATTTGTGTCCATAAGTAGAAAAGGAGATATTTTACTATGATTTCAATTTAATGAAAAGTTATTGTTGTGCATACGGCCTCGTTTTGCAGAAGGTCAAACAAAAAGAAAACATAACTCATTGCATAATTCACTATGTAATTGAATAAAGCAATAAGCCATGTGGGCGTTATTCTGATTTTGTCACGGTTAAGGGAGGTTTTTAGGCACGGTGTGAATCAGAGTCATGTGGCTTTGTGCTTTTGTAAAATGGCAACAATATACACATTTTCAATAAATAATTTTAATTTGATTTAATAATAACTCAAATAAATATGTCTTCCACCAAGAAATGTAGTTTGCTTAGAGCATACTATTGTAGCCAATGAATCATGGACTGTTGAAGAAGGACAACTTTCAGCTACTCTTTATTGTACATGCAGTCATTTGATGAACGTTTACATTTTTTGTCATACAATAATGAAAATAACATAGTATAGCACTGTTTAATGAAATGCAATCTCAATGCAGTTTTCTGTGTTGTGCTAGCATCAAGCTAATAGTGCTGCTGTTCATTCATTTTCCCACACTTGATTTAAAACTACTTAAGGCAGACCAATTAAAAGCATGCAAGACATTCAAGTAACAAATTCTTTCCTTTGTATATCATTTTTAAAATGCTCCATTAATGGATGAGCAGTGTAGCATGTTGGATATCTTTATCTTGGTTAGCCTGCTATAGTTAACCTAGTTCTTAAGAAAAGTTAGTAAGAAAGTAAGTTAGTTAAGCCCCTCAGTTTATACAATCCAGATTCTTAATGTATCTATCAATACACTCTGGGTTCCATGCCAACAGTATAACAGTCCATTCACAGCACAATTGTTTTTTAGTGATTTACCACATTAATACAGAATTCAGCTGTTATGAGGTGATAAGTTTGTATATATCTAGGAGTGTACAATAGCTCAAGAACACAGCTCAGCCAATCACATTTTGAATCACTGTCCATCACTATAACTATCCATTTCATAGTATGTAATTACATCATTACATTCCAGTAGTATAGCAAAATGAAAGTAGTAAGTCAACATTTCTAAGGGTTAACTCGTGCCATCTATTTCAGTCCAGTATTCACTTCTGAAACTGTGAGTTGCAAAGGTGAAGAAACATTCCCAGACACACTGACACTCCTGGGCAAGATAGCAGCAAGTGCTGCCACAGCAAATATTGCTCAACTAAGCCAGCAGAAGCAATGTTGAGACTCAAGCCCCCTCCACCTCATATATCCCTTTTCCCCAGGATCACCCGCTGTCCCCGTGTTGCAGACCTGAGGGCCTCTGCGCTGGCAGGCATGGCACTGCTGTGCTGGCATTTGCAAAGTGGCTCTCATCCCACTCCCCTTTCCTTTCCCTTCACCCTTCCAGATCAGCACTGAAGCTGGCTGAGAAGTTGTAATAGCTTAAGTGGCATTTAGTGGACAGAGTCATATGGTGGGAGTCAATGGCAAGGTGCTGGAAGGGCTGCGAGAGGTGAGCTACTGCAGCAGCACTTAATCTTCCCTTGTGCTTCGCCCAGATCCGCTCTGATAACAGTCACCTTGAGCAGAACAAAGAGATTATGGCAGGTAGAGCCTAAGAGAAGTGTGTTTGTGTCCATTGCGGGGTTTTATTTAGACTTTAGCATAAATATACAGTAAGAAGACTGAGGCAATGTTCTTATCAAATGTGAAGATGCAGAATGGATAGATAACGAATGTACTATGTAAAATGTAATATAATGAAAATACAGTGCTTGATTCATTACATCAGAATGGACAGATGGCGAATGTGGCCGTACAAAAACTGACAATAGATTAGAATGTACTTCATTTATATTTAGTATAATATATACAGTCATAACTAAATGACCACAGATCAAATTACACGTTTTGTTGACTCTACAGTGAACATAGTTAGAAGTGGTATTTCTGCTGGTTTTACATGTAGTTTTTTACAAACAAAATAGATAACAGCAGTGGCTTTCTTCATGTGCTTTTTATGTACTGCCTTACAACAATCAGACAGATACTTTCTATGCATGCACTGATTTTTCAGGCTTTCAGCATTTCATCAGCAAAACAAATTTCCTAGATCACTTTGTTTCACTGACACTAATTTTCTGTAAATATCCATCCATCTCCAGTATTCCCATTTCTCAAATCACTTCATCCTCGTAATCTCTGCAATGGATTTGGCTCCGGTATTCTTGGCCCTTATCAAATGGCTTCTGCGGTATCGAAGGTGCTGTGTGTATTTTTAGGAGCTCTATTTTGTGGCTGAGTGCCTTTCTTGCTGCTGTCTATATAGATAAGCTGATCTGGAATCAGCAGAGCTGAAAAGCAAACTAAGGAACAAGCTCTGAGAGCTGACCTCAGATTGCCACGAGAGGCTGGGCTAGATAGACTGTTTTCGTGTGAGTTAGCTCAGGGAATCTCAAATCTCTGAAGAGGAATTTATGGTGTAAGTGATTTCTCTGCTGATTCCCATTAAACATAGTAGCCTAGACCTTTGGAAGCAGCATGTTATGCTTGGATTTAAAGCACAATGTTTCTGAGGTTTATTTGCATTATTATTTTTTTTTGTTCTTCAGATTTCCTTGGTTTCCATGAACAGCTTGAGATGGATTGATAATGCATTGAGAATACTCCTGCATAGGGATCATTACATTAAAATAACCTGCAATAAATGGGTTGCTATTTAACTATGCACTTTTGCCATATTTCTCATTTGAAAGTATTGCTGTGTGGTTTGAGAGTCCTTGCTCTGTACACATATGAAAAGAAAGGGAGGTGTTATTAATGAACACTGTCAAAGAGATTTACCAGCTCCATTTATTTTTATCAGTGCTTTTGCTATTAACTCTTAAAGAATTTTATTCTATTTGTATTGTACTGCATACAATATGTACATGTATGTTATTCTTACTAGAGACTTGTGGATGTGGCTGTATGGGTTCATGGATTTAATGAAGACTCTTGTAGGTTGTGTGAGGCATTTTTACTCGACTTTGTAGGTCAGCATGCCCTGTCAAGCAGAGCAGCACATTTAGGGTGACCAAAAATGTCACACAGAGGAAGCAGAGTCCACTTGGCTATGGAGAGTTGTTTAAAAACCCTGTCAGGAGATTCAAACTGGAGTGTGCTTAATATAAAGGGTTGATATCAGGGAAAAGCAAATTTTCATCATTTAAATGAATGAGTATATGTAAAATGACCATTCACACCACAGTCCATACAATCCATGTGTGGAAACTAAGCTGGAAAAAATGACCCATTTTTAATTCTTTTTTGTGTTGTCACAAAAACAACGCATTTACAAAGAGCTAGCCATTCATGTTGAAGTAATAAGGAGTGTTTCAATCTGGACTGCTTTTTGAATGAGGTGCAGTGCATTAATCAGAACAAAGCCAATTTGCAGTCAACTCTAGAATTAGTGGTGCCTTTCATAAAATTGAACTAAAATCAATATATTAAATAAACCACACATGTAATAAGTGATGTTTTGGGCTTAAACAAATTGGTAAGCTGCATATTTTTACAACCCCATTTCCAAAAAAATTTGGGACGCTGTACAAAATGTAAATAAAAACAAAATTTAATGATATGCGAATCATTTAAACCCAATATTTCATTGAAAATAATACAAAGCCAACATATTAAATGTTGAAATTAAGAAATTTTATTGTTTTTTGAAAAATATATGCCCATTTTGAATTTGATGCCAACAACACGTTCCAGAAGTAAAGCTGAGGAGGGGTTTACCACTCTGTGAAAGACTGCACGATCAAATAGTGCAAAAAATTCAAGAATAAAAAATAGCAGAGAACTTTTGCTTTTCATCATCTACGGTACATAATATCATTAAAAGATTCAGAAAATCGCACTATAGCACATTCTACATGTATTACAGCAGCATAGCTCTGTATTAAAAGAGTCAGGGTGCTAAATTGTCCTGCCTGCAGTCCAGACCTGTCACCACTGATAACATTTTGTGCATTATAGAATGAAAAATACTGCAAATAAGACCCAGGACTGTTGAGCAGCTGAAATCCTATATCAAACAAGAACAGGAAAACATTTTACTTTCAAAGCTACAGCAACTGGACTCCTCAGTTCCCAAACACTTACAAAGTGTTGTTAAAAGAAGAGGTGATGAAACACAGTGGTAAACATACCCACGTCCCAAATTTTTGGAACGTGCTGTTGGCATCAAATTCAAAATGGGCATTCAAAAAAACAATAAAATTTCTCAGTTTCAACATTTGATATGTTGTCTTTAGTATTTTCCTTTAAAAAAAAAAAAAAGGTTTACATGATTTGCACATCATTGCATTCTATTTTTATTTACAATCTGCACAGCGTCCCAATTTTTTGGAAATGGGGTTGTACTTTTACAGTTTTTTGGACCAAAAGAAGTTTTCTTTAGTAGTACGATTTCAGTGTGTGTTTGGGCTCATTATGTTGCTGAGGTTTCAGCCTTCTGGCAGAGGTAGACAGATTTTGGGCTAAAATCTCCTGCTGTACCCTGTTTGACAGTGGGTATCAGGTGCTTTTTATTGTATTCGCTGATTTTTGGGATCCTTTTTTGCCCCTCCTACCAGCCTACTATTTTGCCTTATAACACCCTACATTAAACCTCTCCGCT